CTCCCAAGCTTTGGTTTTTACCAACCAGTCCTTGGAGTATCTGCAGAAGAGAATTGTGGACCTACAGAATGAAAAGATAATGCAGAGGGAGATCTTCAAGAAGGCCAGGCAGCAACATAAACAGCTTCTCCAGGACAAGAAGGAGATGGAGACAAAGATTCAGCGTGAGTAACAGAGACTCTAGACAACATAGTTAGCTAGTGCTCTTCCTGTGTCCCTCCCTGTGTGCGGGTAACTTACCAGCTGTCTGTCATCTTTACACTCACACAGATGTCCCAGCTGGTTATTGCAGAAAATAAAACAGAAAGAATGGATTGAGTGGACTGTTTTGATGAAGTACTGGTAGTGCTCCAGTGTTGCAGAGTCGTTTGGCTCTGTTGAGTGTTTGAGGAACATAGCGAAAGGAGAGCTGACTGAGATGAGACACTGGAAATCAGGACACACGATTGTTATTTTTGGCTCTAAGTCAGAACTGCTAGGAAAAAAAAAGTACTTTCTCTAAAGCCACATAAAGTTTTTTTTAGCAATTTCTTCCTCTTTCTTCCTTTCAAGAGCAAGACAAGCCCTATTCAAAACAGTTCCTGAATGACCAAACCCAAAGATGTCTGGTTATCCCTGCCAAACTCACCTTTGTGGAACTGCCAAAGCTTCACATAGCCTATGGCATGGGAATGACTGACCAGGACTGGTCTGGCATGTGGGCTGTTGGCAACACAGGTTTGGTCAGCACCAGGACAGAGGGCAATATTTGATTGTGAGCTTCCTATGACCTATTCATTAGAGAACACATACCAAAGAGCTCAGACAAAAGGGGCTGTGAATAAGCCACAAATCCTCACTAATGAGCAAAAGCAGGTTCTGCAATGTGTGCCATGCTCTCTCGGTCAGGACTGGAAGAGAAGTGTAATCAGCTGATGATGACAAAGTTTGGCCGGCTGGTTGATTTGGAAGCTCTCCAGGCACACTCCATTAACACACGCTTGGAAGAGTTAAAGGTGCAAATGATGGAGAAGGAACATGTGCACTCCCAGGAACTCAAGGAATGGGAGGTAAGCAGCAAGGACATCAGGAGGGGCTATGCATGACAATGCTGTCTACCAAGGCCTCATTTGCTTGGGGTGGAATAGCTACATTAGAATTTTTGGTAACATGTTTGTTTGTTTTGTTTTTCTTTTCCCACCTGTCATCAACAAACCAGAATGTTCAACTCTCATTTCCCATCATCTTCTGTCTTTCTTCCAGCTGCTATAACACAGCCTATTTTTTCATTGAAGTAGTTGACCTGGTTTTGTTTTGTTTGTTTGTTTTTACTTTCCTCAAGTACATCCTTCTGCATTCAGTGTGTAGGTCAGGTTCTCCTAGAAAGCTTCCTTTGTTTTCAACTGGCATTCAGCACATGCTGCCTCCTCCCACCTTATCTGCTTTCTGCTATCACTTTTCTGAATGCAGAAGGTTCCGCCTCATACCTGGGGCGTTAGACTCTGTAGAACTCCAGAAACTAGCAGCATGAAAAGTGCATGACTATCTGGAGAGCCTAAGGCTTTGCTGTGATAGTGTGAGCGGGCAGCAGTCTTGCACTGTCCTCACAAAGCACCAGTGTATGTCACTGTATAATGTATGGAGAGAAAAAGTTTAAAAACAGCCTGGGGGAGATCACAAAAGATCCAGAAAATCTCTCTAGGCAAGCATCATATTTTCCTGTTTTAAGATGATGAAGATTTTTTTTCCCTGTGCAGTAAAACACTATCACCTTTATACATATATCTGATACATTTCCTGACTTCTCGTTTTTCCTGTTCATGTTAGTTGGCCACATGTTCTGGGCTCCCCTCGCTGGGGACATGCACTACTCCTTAGTCTGGTGTCCTTCAACAGAGAATATATCCAGGTCTGGCTCAAAATTTTTATAACTGACTTTGGTGAGATCACGAGCAGGCTTGTAGTGAGCCACCTCTCCTTTTAGGTTTGTGCAGCAACCCAAACTGCTGAGTCATTTGCAGTATTAAAATATAACTGATAAAATGGAAAACCTTCATTATTAAGGGTATTACAGGATTGTGTGGTGCATTCAGGATCAGAGTCTGTCTGTGTGTCTACCTCTCTTCTGTACCATTTATATTCCTGCCTGGCACTTCTTCCCTATTTCACATAATTTTTATTACCTCTCATCCTGCCTCACCTGTTTATATCTCTCTAGGAAAGAATCTTAGACCTGCGGCAGCAGCTAATGATGCTGACAAAAGAAAACACCAGCAAGCTGCAGCAGCTGAACCAGTTCTGCCTTGAAAAGCAGCGACTTGAAACCAAGCTGGATTCCCTGAAGAATGATCTGGTAAGCCTTATAGCCATTATACCACACGAGGGCTTAGAGCTGTCCAGAAATGGTAAGAATTTATCTGGCCCCACTGGTTCCCTGGTCTAAGATCTTGCTTTGCGGTCAGCAGTTCAGTCTAACAGTGCCTAGTGGCAGCCCCAGCAGCCAACAGCAGCCTCAAGGGCTGCTCTGGTTCTTACTGAAAGGCAGATGGGTGGTCTGATCCTGAAGCAGGCCATACCTTAGCTTCTCTGTTAGTTTCTTACTTAGTCATTTTCTAATATTGAAACAACCTATCTTCCTTTCTACATACTTATAATTAGAAAGGGTCTTGCAGCAAGACAAAGCTATTTCCTTGCTGCATGGAGACAGACAAATGAATTGGGGTATTTTCTTTGCTCTGTGCCAGGGAATAAGCCAGCCAGCTGTGCAAGCCTAAATTAGTGGTCCTTACTTGGTGATTTCTGAGTAGTTCTGACTGAGGAGCAGGGCAGTCATGGAGCGGATCTGCCTCCCTTTCACACTTGAAATAAGTTCCCACCATCTCTTCTCCCATGGTTTATAGGAGCTGTCTTTTCTCTCTTTATAGGGAGCAGAATTCCAGGGCCCCCGAAGTACTGAAACCATGGAGGAAGCCAAACTGGAGTCACAGCTTACCTGCAAGGCCAGTGAGATAGCAATCCTAAAAAAAGAAATTACTTTCCTAAGCAGAAAAGATATGTGTCTAAAAGAAGACCGCCCTCTTGTTAGAGGTACCCATTTTTTTGGCTTTCTCCAACCGTCACTTTCACAGGACTCTCAGACACCAGCTGAAACATTCCCTATTCCTACACCAGAAAGGGTATCTAATGCACACAGTGCCCCTTAAACAAAGACAGAGTTAACTATGGAGGTAATAATCCCTCTAAGTGTGAAAGGAACTGCTTTGGCTATGCAATGGTTTATTTGTAAAAGTTAGCATTTGTTTTCCTTTGCAAAATGATTGTAGTGACAAATGGGAATAAAAAGAAGAAATACAACCAGTAAATACTGTTATCAATCCATGGTGGAAATTTGCACTGGACAGATGCAGCATGTGTGTGTGCTCTTAGCTCTTGGTCAAGAGCATGACTTTTGAGTTTGGCACTGTTATTCTCAAATACAGTAGAAGGGGTCTGCCTTAAAGCTGTATTTTGTTACCGATTGACCGTGCCCACAGCAATGGCAGCTGAGAATCACTTCTCCGATCCCTAAGAGAGCTTTTCTTCTCCCTCTGAGCTATTTAAAGCCACTGTAAAAAGAGAAGGGAAGTGCTATTTGTTTGGAAAAGCAAAGGGTCCTTCCTCTTCAAGACCTACAGTGTTAAGAAGGGCATGGGCCCAATAAAATAATTTCCTCCTTTCTTCTGCTTTATAGAAGTGGGAAATGACCCTAATAAGAAGGTCTGATGGAGGAGGGCAGAAGGGGGTGTTTGTCTAGCACTAGGAAGCCAGAGCAAAGGTGAAGTTGGACTCCAATTCCGCTGACCGGCACCTGCCTGTACAGATCAGAGAGAGAGCACAGCCAAGCTCTCTATGTTCTCAGGTTTTCTTTCATTCCTCTGTCATTTAGGATGCTAGCAGTGAATGAACAGCTACAGCAGCACTTACCCTGTCTTTATGTGAAAAGCTCCTTCAACCCCAAAGTGGAGTTTTATTGCACAGATCTTTCAGTGCAAAGCTCCTGAGCACGGAAGAGTTGCACCTTTTGTTTAATTAAAATCAACAACAAAACCACAATCTGCACATGCTCTAGCTTTTCCTCTCTGCTTCCCGCCTTTTGCCACTTTTTTCTTTTCACTCACTGAGCACCTTTTGTTTCCTTAGGAGAGGGGAGGAAAAAAATGACATGGATGCTGAAAACCTTTGAAGTGGGGGAAAAACACGGGGTGGGGGGGCAAGGAGACAAGAATTTGCAGAGGTTTGAGTTTTCCCACTCAAACCCCTGCGGCTATGCTGAGAGACAAATGAGAACTTCTCCACCTGCACCCCTCACTAGAGGTTGTATGTCACTTAATTGGCACAGGGCTCTTCCCTCTTCTCTTGTGCTCCGTATCAGATGACCTAGTAGCCTATAATGGCATGAAAACATAATTTTTTCCTAAGTGTCCTTTTTTTATCAAGGGAAAAAAAAAAACACGTAGGCCCCTTCTATGGGAGGATTTAGCATACAGCTAGCCCCAGAAAAGACTAAAGCCTTTATTTTGGATGTTAAAGCGTGGGTTTCTCTTTACAGATATGTGGCTGCAGATGGTGTGTACGCGTAAGGTCATTAAGTTGATTAGGCAAGTGCATAACTCCCGTCCATTCATGCGAGCCCATTCCTGGGAGATGCCTTCCCGTGGGGGAGAAGAAAAAACCTTTTCCATAGCCTCATCCTTCACGAAGCCCTTGCTGCAAAGAGGGTGCTAGGCAGTGGCAGCAGCTCTGCTGGGGCCTGTGTCCCACAGTGTTTCTTTTGCTGCTCTGTTTCAGTCTTCTGTTCTTGGAAACAGCCCCGTGCCCTATCTGGCTGCTGCCCTGTTTCTTGGCCCCTCCTGCTGCGTTGCTGACGATGCCCTCTGTTTCCATAGCATTATAAAAGGCACATATACATCTATATACAAGTGCATAAATATATAAATAGAGGTGTTATACAAAAATAAATACTCATTCTCTTTCTCTCTTTAGAATAAGTCTTTTGCAAAAAGCAGCTGGGTCCCTAACCGGTAGGAGAATGAGTCTCTAAGGGCCTCAGTGGTGGTGGGCTGCTGTTCAGTTGTCTTGGTAGGTCCTGATCCAAAGGTGTGATCAGTGAATTCTGGGGATGGACGTCTCCTCTGGACTGGCAGCAATCTAGTCTTTCTACCTCTTCGACGGGCACCAGGCCAAGGCAGCAAGGGCTTCCTGAAAGAGAGACGTGCAAGACACGATTACAATGTATACAGCAATGGGAGATGCCATGGCTGCTTTACAGTCAACAGCCTGCTTTATGAAGGTAGGTAGTCTAATCAAAGACAAAGAACCACATGAAAAAAGTCCTGCCTGTATGGGAATTTGCTGCCATGCTTTCACATGATGTTACAATCTTAAATGTACATACATAAAAAATGCTACATGATCCATACTGCCAGAAGGCTGGATCAAGCCCTCAAGGAATAGATTCAAGTAACTGTTCAATTGGTCTTTGTGTTTGACTGGTAGGCTTAGAAGATTAAGAAGGGCTAAGGAACAGTGTCCCTGCAACTGGGGGTGGGCGTGTGCCTCCCAGCAGCAGTTAAGTTTTTGGAGAAATTAGAATCCATTCTCTAAAATTGGCCTGGGCAGTTAACAGTCTCCAACTGTTACGAGGTCTTTTCGCACCACTGTTCTCTGCAATAATATTGCAGGAACTCTTCTTGTACCACACTACTGAGCACTAGCACATCCTTCCAGAAGGCTTTACAAGGAGATTTCCCTGCAAGATCTGCCTAAAACAATGAGATGAAGCAAGCTCTGAGCTTTCCTGACCACTGACCTTGGTGGAACATGGGATCCCGTCGAACATCCAGGCCCATTTTGCTGCCCATCACTGGATGATGCAGGCCAACAAAGTGCTCTTGAAGGTGAGGACAATCATCTTGGGGCTGGAGAAGCTGGTGAGTGGAGTCATCTGGGAGACTGTAGAGGAAAGAACTGTCTTCTGGTCTTGAACTGGACAATCTGGAGAGGCAGGCAAACAGACAAGGATGTTTAGCACTAGTCACAGATCTTTTTCCTTAAAAGATACAACCTAGGTAATATCTGAGCCAACTGTTTTAAATGCAATGGTATACAGCATTCCTGAATGAGGGGAAGATGGCAAATTGGGATGTCCTTGCAGAATGCAAGTGAGGCGATAGGAACTGACATGCATGATGGAAAACCTGCAAGTTATGGAAGCTGGGAGAGGCAGTGTGGTGCACAGGAGCAGTGACTTGGAGTCTGAAGAGCGAGGCACCTGCACCTGCACATCACCAGCTGCTTGGGCAGTTGTTTATTAGCACCCATCTATAGACACCAGTTGTCTCATCCTCCTTTTTACTCTCCCACTTAGGAGCAGAGGAAGAAGAAGGAAAAAAAGGAGGAAAAAAAAAAAGGAAAAAGGTAGATTTTGACCATCTCTAAAATGAAATTACCCTTCACTCAGGCCTTAAGGGGAATTAAGTTTATTTAAAAAAAATGTAGACTGAGAAGGTCTAGTGCTTCAGCATGGATTTGTTTTCCAAGTGTACACTGAGGGCTGGCACATGTCGGGATCATCCCAGCCTCCCCCACTGTAAGGACGTCTAACCTGGAGGACGGGTAGTCGTGCTGGACATTTCCATTTTGCAGCACTCTTGCCTGCAGCAAGGTGTTGGTCTCCTCATGTGGCTGGAAAGAGAGAGGAAGACATTAGCAAAGCAGTGGCACAGGGCAGCATTAAGAGGTGGGTGCTGATCTGGGATACAGAACCAGAGCTATGGGGCAGAATGAGGAAGCTCTTATGAAAGGAGACAGAAAAGCTGAAACAGTTTCTTTTGCTACAGTGGAGACAGTGGGAATGAGCACTGAAAATCTCACTTTTCACCTACTGCTTAATTACTGGGTGCTGATAGCCAATTCATGGGCTTAATTGTGCCACTACCTTGGCTTGTGTCACATTTACAGATACCGAGTCTACAACAGAAGCAGTCCCTGTGAGATTTGCTCAGCGAAACCAGGAACTATTGGTATGAAGGATATCCCTTTGCTCACTGCCTTTTCTATACCTAGAGCCATCACCCTAAGAAATCAACTCTTCACCTATACTGTGCAGACCTTCCTGCTCATCCCATCTCACGGACTCTACTGCAAAGAGGAAACCTCTCTTCAGAAGCCAGGCTTCCTCCTTCTCCACATGGCAAAAGGTGCCCGGCATGCCAACAGAGCTCTGCCACTGCAGCCATAGCCTCATGGCCAGTCATGGAGTGGTCTCCATGACTGTCCTGCGGTGCCCTGGCTGTGCTCGTACCTGCTGCATGTCCTCTGGGCTGTAATCTCGGGGCTTGGTGCTTGCATAGGCCGCCGCTGCGGAGGGGCAGATGCCGTTGAGATGCGCCCCGCTGGCAAAGCGCTGCCCATTAACGAAGGGGTGGCCGCTGGCACGGGGAGCCGAGACGCCCCTCAGGGGCACCATGGTGTACTGGCATGATGACACCAGCAGCCCCGCTCCTGGGAAGCCCATGTCAATGGTTTGCTCTGCAATGGGAAGAAAAAGGAAATCTGAGGCCAGGAGCAGAGGTGAAGCCTACCAGGCAGCTATTTTGGCCACTCAAAGCCATCCTTGGAAACAGACCTTCCAGAGAGGAGAAAGGGGTGCCCTTTTTCTCTACAGCTAGTCCCAGAGGTCCTTCTCAACAAGGTCAACCAGGTAAGCAGCACAAGGGGCAAAGGGTGGCCTTTGTTGAGACGGGCTACCACAAGGCACCTGGGACTTGTTCTCCACCCAACCCTTCGCTGCTTCCCAGAATGTGGAGCACTTGTGGGTTTGGGTGGTTGAGCCAAATACACTCAGCATCAGATCTAACCCACGGAGCAGAGCACATCTTGTATACTAGCCCTCAAGAAAGGTTACTTACTCTGCTTGGACCATGCTCTCCAAAGGCAAAAGGGGATGAAGGCCACGATGAGGAGTACGATGGAGCCCAGTACAACCCCTACGATCAAGTACGGTAAGTCGCTGGAACGGGCCACCATGGCCCCTGCGCCCAGGCCACTGTGCCCACCACCAAGTGGGGGGTGCTGCTGGGGAGGCACCGTTGAGGGTGGAAGACGCCCTGGCAGACCAAGAGACTTCCGAGCTGCGAAGGGAAAGGACAGGGAATTGGATATAGGCATGTCACCCTATGGCAACAAAGAGCAGCAAGAAGAGCAGGATACTCCAGAGATGTTGACACTGCTATGGACTGGCCAGACTTCTGCAGTGGCTTTAGAGGGATGCTCCTGGATGCCAGAGGATTTCCTAGGCTAACGCCTAGAGCAGTATCAACAGGTCCTATGAGCATAACTTGCAGATCTGCCAGTCCCTTAGGCTGTTAAAGCAACAGAAATAAAGGAAATGCTCATCCGAAACACCCACTTGGACTTAACGCTGTTGCTACCATGACAGCACAGCTGTTTTGAGGACTACTTAAAGCCAAACAGAGCAACTCATAGCAGGGAGGAAAAATTGTCCCAGTCACCATCTACCCAACGTTCAGGGAGACAAGAGGTAACTACCACGCTGAGGGAAATGGCAATGGACTTGCAGGACTCTGCAAGAAGGTGCTGCGCGTATGGGTATGTGCACATACCGAGCAACGGCATCGGCAAACCTACCCCTGTCTTCTCCCAGCCCCAAAGCTGCCCCTATCTAATTTCCTGAAGCACGATGAAGGACACCAGGCAGGGCTGGTACCTGCCTTGCTGTGCTCTGGACACTTGCAGGCAGGGAAGGCGCAGGGCTGCTCTCCCCAGCGCACCCTGCAGAGCTCCTTACCTTTGGTTTCACAGATCATCACGTTGCTGAACTCGCTCTCACCGCCCTCATTGAAGCACTGCATCTTGATGTCATAGGAGGTCTCTGGCTGCAGGTGGCTGATGGAGTGCCAGTACCGGTCCCCTGAGGCGGGAAAACACACACTGCGTCACTAGCTTCCTCTGGG